AATGATGACCCATTCTGCACATTAAGAACCCAAATTTGTATTTTTGGTCATCCTCTAAAGGAAATTTTTAGGTGCAGGCATCTGCTAAAAAATAGGATGAGCCGTAAGTGACAAGGACATAAATGGCACCATTTCCTTCTCTTGGGAGAGGAGATGGCTCTGGAATGCAGTTAACATTTGCACTAGGATGAAAACAAACTTCAAAATGAAAGCATTAATTGACTTAGGGAGGCAAAATTAAAAACACGCTGAAAAACATCCACTGCAGTCAATTAAACACAATCTTTCCTTTTAATAGAGGCTATTTATTGCCATTGTCAAGGTGCCTATAAATTGTAAAGGGCAAAAGTGCTTTTCAGCTCAGCAGTCATATCCTTCTCAGTGATAAGTCATCCTGAGAGTCTGCTGGTTTAATTGTTGTTTAGAATAAAAAAGCAAAAAGGTAGGAAAGCAAGGACAGGAAAAAAAGTAGGAAAGCAAGGACGAGAAAAAAAGTAGGAAAGCAAGGACAAGAAAAAAAGTAGGAAAGCAAGGACAAGAAAAAAAGTAGGAAAGCAAGGCCAAGATCATTTCTTTACTTTTTAAAACGTACTTTACTTTTTAAAAGCAGCTAAACTTTGAAAGGCAATTTTCTGCATTTCAGTAAGGTTGAGTTAATGTCCTATTAATCGGGAAGACCCACTCCTGAAATGAAAATGTAATGGAGAAGTCTCCTGCAAGCAAATACAACTGATGTTTGCTTTAACATGCAAACTTTTTTTTTTTTTGTATATGAAATGTATGACTCAGTCCTACCCATCAGTTTTACTATGAAACTACAGCTCCTGTCCCTTCTGCACAGTTACAAGGCTCTGTGCAACATTTCCATGCTAAAATATGCCCTGCAGCTTTCCCTTTTTACAAGCCGGTCATGGAATGAGCTCTGCTCAGGTAAACGCAGGCACTCAGGGAACACCAGGGATTCTCAACAGTGGCTTAGGCTTAAAAAGCTCATTTGAGGCTTAAACTGAGTCCACAGAAAGAGCAACAGCTTATATAAAACTTGTAAAGTAATCGGTTTGCTCACAAGTTGGAAAAAAAAAAAAAAGAAAATGTTGAGAACACCACTGCTTCTGCTCTCGCTATTAATAACAGAGGCATTCATACCCCAACTACAGTGAACAGGATCCTATTATTCAAACTGCCAAGTCTACTACAGGCATTCAAAATTCATGCGGTTGGCTTAAAACCGTGCTTAAAATGAGCTTTTATGTATTTTTTTTTTTTTCTGAGACATCAACCTTTGGGATTCACATTTGAAAAATTCTCTAGGTATCAAGGAAGGCTACAAACTGTCATCAAAAGCAAGCCAAAGAYATGCCACAATTCTTAAGGGAATAAATGCCTTCCAGCATTCGATAGCACCATGTTTAGCATAAAATCTTCAGGCAAGTGCTAAACAGACATAGAAGGTAAGGTGGGGAAGGTAAAATGGACAGAATAAGCTTTAAGATGTGTTCACCTCTTCAGGCCTGAACCTTCTGAAGGTGACACTACCAAGAAATAAAAACGATCCCTCAGCAAAGGGCGGCCCTGCCCTCAATCGGRCATTTTTCAATGTTAATGAATAGCACACTAGTCAAGCAGACTGTTCTTTTTTGAGGATCAACCTGTTTATTAGGGCCAATTGGCTGTATCAGAAACTCACGCTCATCATATCTTAAGACCCCAGGTGTCTCTTGGTTAGCTTGAGCAGAAATATGCTTTGTGCACCCTCTTCACTTTGCAAATATTTAATACAAATAGCATTAACTTTCTTGATATGATCCATTTAGCAGGTTCACTTGAACATACAGAACTCATTCACTTGAACATACAGAACTCATTTAAGTAGCCCACGGTGCACAGTAATTATATAAGAGCTGTCACAGTACAAATGGAATGCAAACTATGGTTAATGCTGCACAAACAAAACCTCACTTCTCTGCACAAAACACTTCACATCTTCAAAGTCTTTGTAAACCAGCCCTTACAATCTGACACTGTCTTCTGATACTGTCTTCTGTCCTTCCCATCCCCACACAGACAGGGAAATAACAAAGAAAAGGCAGAGAGCACCTGGATTGGGAAYGCAGCCAAGCCGAGGCTGTTCAATGGGAGCTCACCTGTGGCTCCAACTCTCAGTCCACGTGCTGCCAAGGTCATCCTTAAAGGCAGAAAGCAGCTGGGGTGTCCAGGCAAGRAGACAGGCTGCAGGACAGGCCATGCCAAGGAGAACGGGTGAAGGTCAGGCCACGACCGGCAAGGATTGGCAGCTCGGACCCTCCCAGCTACCACCCCTTTCCGTTTGCCCTACAGGCAGAAGCTCCTAGCTGGACACCACGCTTGCCTCTCCTTGCCAAATCCCCCCTCTAGGTACACACCTTGTTCACATGTCTTCTCCAACGGTTTGTTCCCATCTCCAGCGCTAAAATCTAGTAACATGCAGAACTTCTACAGWCCATCCCACTGAACGGTCTTACAACAAAAGAGAACGATCACCCTCAGCACAGTTTGGAAACTGTGGCTCCCATTTGGTTTTCCAGGAAAGAGCTCTCTGACAAAAGAGGGAATAAACAAGAAAATGTGTACAGGGATCATCCGGAAGTTTCAGGGCAAAACTGCACTGAGCAAGAGCAACGGCCCTATGTACCCAAAAGTCAACAACTAGATTCCAAGTATTTTGGAATCTGAACTTGGTATTTCTTTGGTTAACAAAGTTTACAAACCTGAGTTGATGCCAGAGACAAAGAGAACATTTTCATTTTGCAATAAACCTCAGGGAGAACAACAGCTCTCAGGAAGATCCACCCTGCAGCCTGCCAGTTTAGTARCAGCATTTGCTAAGTTTTCTAGTAGCAGATTAAGGCCAATGGGGAAACTATACTGCCAAAAGCTTAGTTTGGCCCCCAGTTATCACCTCAAACCATGAGAAAGGAGTGCTGGGATCTTTGCTGTCCATAAACCAAACAGGACTTTGCACCTTTAGCCTGAAATGGGGCGGTGCAAGAGGCAGGAATTCAATGTCATGCTAATGCAGCTGGTGGAACCTGCAGCCAACCTTCTGTGATCACCCCTACCCAAGAAATCATGAAGGATTTTCTCTACTACACTAAATCATTTTTCAATCTGCACCCCTCTTCTTAACATACTTGTTTTGGGGACAGAGACAGGGTGTGAATCACAGGAGCACAAGTGATTATGGCTAGAGTATTCCCATGAGACAAGAGAGTTTTCTTAGTATTCTATTACGCGACTAAATGTCAAAATGTAGCTACTATTAACCCATACGAAGTACTGGCTAGCGTGCAGTTTTGCAAAAGAAAACAATTCAAGAAGAGCCCTGTGAAAGGACAGGAGTTTGGAGGAAACSAGAAGCGGAATGTGAGTCAACGACGCAACGTCTCAGAGCACCAGCAATTCTGCAGCACGTTAATGGGAGCATCACACGCGTGACCCAGGAGATTAATTGTTCCCCTCTCCAGGGCTAGTGAACATTGTGTTCTGCTTGGGGCAGCTCATTCTTCACAGGGCTGTTGACAAACCATACAGTGTGCAGAAGACARCAATAAAGATAAGAACTTCAGAAAACCTGACCTACGAAGAAAGGYTTAAAGAATGGTATTTGGCTTACAAAAGAGAAGCGAGAAACCAGGGAGCAGAATGAAGAGGAAGGAATGAAGAGAAATAATAGAAAGTCTTCCAGACTGCAAAGGTTGTTGCAAAGAAAATACCAATCAACAACTCTTTGTGTCATGGTGTGCCAACAAGTACCAATTGTGGTGAAGCAAGTTCTGATTAACTTCTTTGAGTAACCTTCCAACTTGGTAATTAAGGAAAACCACCCACAGTGTTGTGCAGCCTCCACAGCCTCTGCGGGAACCCACTCAACTGTGCTCTCAGGTCCCGTGTCCCATCTAYGCAAGCAGATTAAAAAAAGAAGTGTTATTTGTTAGTTGAATTTGACATTATTTAACTCTTTCCATTATAATCAYGCTTCTGACTGAAAAACCAAAAAGGTTTTTTTAAGTTAGAGTGTGTTAAAGCAGTACAGCATTTATGAAATTAGATAGYCCCAGCTACTTATCAGTTACTTATAAAAGACTTAAAGTTATATACTGGCTGGGTTTCTTGAAAACTATATTTGTCCAGCAATTCACTACTTGATTGCATCCAGAGTCAGGCTTACAAAAACAAATAATAAATCTTATATATAAAAGCACACAGCAGACTAAATATTTTAATCCAGAATTAGAAATTTGAGGACTATAATATCTCATCAGGCTACATTCAGAATTTCTCCAAAATCTGARATTTCAGAAAAATATTTCCTTACAGTTATTTTAGCAAGACATAAAGGAGCAGGTAATAACAGGGAGTGTCGGATTGCAAAAGGCTTACAGCATGCCAAAAATGCATTAAAAGCACAAGTTCCATATAGTGCAGTCACATGTAACTACATTTGTTTCATATTACAATGTAAAATACCCCACCATTCCTGAAAGAASTCAAGAATGCAGCTACCAGTTCTCCAGGGCAGATATCTTCATAGCTCTTTGGCATAACTCACAGAATTGCAAATTGTAGCTATGACACAGGGTTAGTAACAAATTAATGCATCACCCGGGGCGAGAGTCTCTGTTCCTGTTTATCGTTGCAGATAGCACATATCATGAAGATTTTGCACGTATCATTAAACCTTAGATACTAAACTTAAGTTTAAGATCTTAGTCCTATGTTGTCAGCTCATTATAATCAGAAGACCTTTAGGAAAGCACTAAGAATTCAGACATTTAATGCAGATTCTTAATATTAGAACATAACARTATTCGCCAGCAATGACAGCCTGGGCCTAATGACACTCGGTATTTGAGAAAGTGTATAAAAGCTGTGGATACTGATTCACATCTAACCAGTGAGGTACCCAACACACATTTACTTGCCTAACAAACCAAGATGCAAACTGAATTATATTAACTCACCTTCACGTATTTTCACTATTTCTTTGAAGAACTAACACGCTCAGAAGTGCAGGCAATTTGAAAGTGCAGGCACTTGCAATATTCCTTCTCTTCTGCTATAAATTGCGCTGCCTTTAGCGTCACAATCACAGGAGAGACCCAACCAATTTATACAGACAAAATATACAAATTGGTATTAATCTGTACTCTCGGGCAAAGTTCTGCCTTTTTTCAGTATGATAATCCAGTTCTAGATTAACAGATCATGTACTTTCTTTTAAATGAAAATATTTTTTWAAAAATTCTATAATATCATCTAAACAGAGCAGGCATCATTAGGATACTCTTCCCACTTGCTGCTAAGGTTCAATCCCGTCCATCCCTGCTGGACTGAAGCGGGACTGTAATGCTGTTGCGGAGCTCCTAATCCCGTTGTCTACGGATCCACAAATCCTTGGGTCACCCGATGGTTGCGGGCTCGAATTTGGGTCACATCGCCGTTGTATATTGGTCARTGCTGAGGAAGAAGATCCCAATGTTGGAGAGCCTCCCCGTGCACAGGTATGGGGCACCTGCGACTCCAGAGCCGCTCTAGCCCCAGTGCTGCGACAAGACTGACCACGTCTGTCACRTGGGGCTCTCAGAGAGGAGCCTCGTGTCTGACTAAAGTCCACTTGGCCGAGGGCTGCCCTCGCGATGCGGGGCGTCCCACCACGGCACAGTCCCCACCTCTACCCAGCGCCTGTGGACAAGCTGCATCAGCTCAACCAYTAGCTTAGACTAGCCCTCGTGCTGCAGTTTTCTCAGACGATGTTGTTGACCCAAACGCAATCGATTTGCCCTATGCTCACAAGGGGATTTGTGCTGACACGGACAAAGAGCGGGAACACGAAGCCTGCGTGGCAGACAGGGTGCAACCACCTTTTCCAGAGGTGGGAGAAGCTCAGCTCCGCATGACCCAACCATGAAACTCGCTCCAAACCAGGGAAGCTGCTCGGCCATCCCACCATGGCATTCCCTGCAGCTTCTGTGGAACAGAGGTCGGGGTCTCTCGAAGAAAGGAACCTTACACAGAATATGCTCATTTTTAATTTCTGACCACAGTCTTTTAAATGCATTTTATGTTCAAAACTCACCTGAACAAACTGCGTAATTACACATGTTCAACAAAATTGTGTGACATTCTTAACTGTAGCAACTTTGAAGACTTAATTTTATATTCAGAAACTGCATCTCCTTAGAGAAATAATCAGCTTCCTATACTAGAGCAGACTGTCGGGACATTGAGAATAAAAAGGTAGTTGGAATAAAATCCCATAAAGCACAGGGAATGCCAGCTGGTAAACGCTCAGGTTTTTGCTGAGGCACTCGGCATTTACAATTGCCTTCAGGAGAGGTTTTGTAGCTCCCTGTATCTAAGGCCACAACTATAAATCCACTTCTTTGTGCGTACACAGTTCATCGATTCCTATGCTGAGGAAACGGGTATTTCTATGTACAAAATCAGTTGGGTAAAAACATATTTTCCTTTAGTAAAACATGCTACAGTACACAGAATACCTCCCAAGGGGAAAAAAAATACACTTACATGCTCTGCAAATAACTAAATATGGTTGATGACTGATTCCCAGTTGGGAAGTGTAACAGTCTCATTCCTTCATGACAAAGCAGGTACTGATAAAGGATGAAGCAAATCACTTCTTCAGAAATGTGAAAGTTAATATATCCACACATTTACTTCCCCCAATAGTTTTTCACATTATGGATCTTGCAGGGGGAAAAAAAAGAAGTTTTAGTCTGTAATTATGGAGGCATTTCAGCTGTATGCTTAAAATAAAAACCAACCCCATTTTTCCTGTCTAGAAAACAGCCAAGAACATACCAAAAATTAATTAGGAATGAGAAGCATATAATGCCATGTGAGCTGAAAGTATTCAATTTTTAGTCTGGAAAATAAAACAGTTAACGGATATGGAATGTTTCTGCTCAAGCTCTTTTATTCAGAGCTGGCATGACTAGTCTGAAAAATAAGAGCTCATGCACCAATCTACTCCTCAGGAGGAGTTCAGATAGCTGAAAAATTCCCAAAGGAAAAGAAAGATGAGACTAACCACATGAGGTACCTATATTAATTTTGCAGAGAAAGAATGATCACATCCCTTGAAAGAGAGTGTCACACCAGAAGACCAAGGTCCCATACTCCACGAAGCGACATCTCATTCTTGCACACCATTTCCACCTGGTGTCTGCCATATCCTCCTTTCACTAAGGGGGAAGCTTACAGACATTCTGAGAATGGTGAAGAAATGACTTTTTCTTTTCTGCAGACACATCATCACATGCAGAAACCAGAGTTAGAAACTCAGACCATCCATCTGAGATTTTTATTGGTATTACTTGGTTAACTTTCTCTTGATTTATGAAAATAACTGTTTAGGAAACATTTGAAGTCAGGATGTGAATTTTCTGAAAGTATGCTGAATTTTGAGGACATACCCAGAATTCTCGTGCACAATAAATCTCAGGATAAGCAGACTCTGAGCAACAGGACATGTCTACTGACTCCTGGATTAGGAACTCTCCATTTAGTCTTTTAGTCTTGAGTTCTCCTTCAACTCAATTGCTGATGAACAATGCAGAAAGTTTTACGATGAAAAGTTCTCTTTACATCACACAACTTGGCAGCAATAGGTTATCCAACATGTATCTGTCCCAAACAATGCTGGCTGTGTTTTACAGTTACTTAACCAAGTAGCTGTGAAGAATATCATTGCCCTCTGCCTCACAAGACAGGCTCGCTGCCAGCTGGGTCATACAAGAATCAACAAACTTGACTTTAAGAAGGGATGCTGGATTCCTTCTAGCAGCACCTACCACTGAAGCTGCTAAATGCACCTGGCTAATGCAGAAGTGGATTTTCTCTTCTTTATTAACAAACTGTGAAAACTGCTCACGGTGGTCTGATCAGCAGCGAGGTAACTGTAACAGCCTGACTTCATATTCCACCAGGAATCTTTAATTTATATTAAATTTTCAGCTCATGCCACTACCAAAGAGAGTGGCTTTACTAAAAGCAACAGCATGTTTTTAGACCACTGTGAATCTTGGGTTGGATACACTATCCTTGCAATACAAGCAGAACCTGTCTTTTTGCTAATTCCAAGAGCTCAGTATTCAAAACAATACCCGGCCATTCATCACATACTGCAGTGATTTAAAGGTAAATAAAAGCACAACAGAACTGCAGCAGTGTTTCTGCCGTGCTGTAGAAGCTAATGCCATTAGCACAGCACTCTGAACATGGTCTAAATGCTCACCTCTGGTGCTGAGGTCTCTCTGAGCTCGCTGCAGAGCGCAGTCACAGCCAGAAACACAGCTATGTTTCTAGCCACAAGCAGCACAGTATTTCCAGAAGCTACTGCTTGGGAAGTTCAGACCAAATCTTTCACTCCAATCCTGCAATCTATTCTCTAACTCCGCTTTCACAGCTGTATTAAATCCCCACACATGAAATGGGCTGCATGCATTCCTAGATCTAACATGATAGATGAGAACTTTGCTCACAACTATCATTTCTACCAACCTGCTTGTCATTCAAGCTGTCACGTAGTCAGTAGAGTATTAATGAATGCCTAGAAGAACTGGACTGATATTAACTTTGAGCAACTTTTGAAAACTAATCCCCCCACAGTGGTGGCTGCTGTTCTCATCCAGCATCAGCATCTGGCAACAAGGGACTGCACTGAGTAATCCTGGCAAGGCTCAGGGAGACTGTTTCGAATTTTCTTCACAACTTCTCAATGTCTGACTGAATTAATAATTCAAGAAGAAACACACTGTTGTGGGTTGTTCTGATCCCATTAATATTATTCCTAGTGGTCTTCATGACAATGTCCTCACATTTTCTTAAATTTATTACAATAGAATTACTTTTTTTTTTAATCTACATATCTGGTAATGTGGCAGAGCAACTGCCTCTAGGAGCAACCAACATTTAAAGCAATGTCCACAGACAGACGTTTGATATAAGCAATAACCACAATTGCTAAGGACATTACACAAAGCACATCCTAAATTTAAATCATCATCTGCAGAAAGGTCCCTGTATGTAACCCAGCAAGGTCCTGTGAGCTCGTTCCACTCCTACGAGTGACCAGGAGAGCTGTGAAAGCATCACCCACTAGACAAACAGAGGTCTAGGAAGAAAAATAACAGACTTTGAGGGGGTTAGTTAGTTCATTTTTATTGTTTTTAAYGATAAAACAACATAAGCAGCGCTAGTCATCTTCTGTACTAACTGAAGTGCCCTACTAACAAAAAGACAAAGGAACGAATGCGAAGMGCATTACAGGTTAAAAGTCAAGGCCCAAAGCCAAAGCTGCCAAAAAGCAACTATTTATGATGCAGAGCATCCAAAAATCTGTTTTATTCCCTTCACATGTACATATCCTTCAACCTTGACCTGTTGTGCTAGAAGAACACTCTAGTCTTTTCACATCTCAGTCCCTGTGCTACAATCTGAAGTGCCTGTAGTGCTTTTTTATTGCTGCTTTTCAGTTCCTCCATAACGGTCTTTGTTATTGTAGCACCTACAAAAAATTGCCAGCCAGCAGTGCTCCCAACTGCATAAACAGAACCAAATACAGATTAAAATGTATTTTTTCCCCTCAGAATATGCTTTACTTCTGCCCAATAATTATGGTAATGAATGTGGCTGCTCGCTGAGACTTCCTGCTGTTCTGTATTAGCCAGCTTCCACATCCACCGGCGCCCACCTACCCCAGCCCGACAGCTTTTGCAGAGCTTCTGCAGCTCTTAACTTCACTGCTGCTTCACGAGTTTTATCATTTGCTGCTGCTTCTGCAYTGGAAGCCTGATTGCTGAATTCACATAATTAGCGCAAACTCCATCAGAGGCCTCAAGTTCTGCTCAGTAATCCAAACAGCCAGGAATGGGAAAGGAGCTGGGAAGGGAATACAAGGCACAAGGCTACAATGACTGAGCCCTGCTGAATGGGCAATTGAGGCTCTGGCTGCCTTCTCCTTCAGCCATGCACAGCTCACCACTTTAACAAATCAGCTTCTCTCTGGATTGACTGGATGTGGTCCACGAGCCACAGCTTGTGGACAACCAGGCCACTTCAGTCAGGGGGKTGTAATAACGCTATTGAGAAGCACCTATGTGTATTGTTAAGGTGAGAAGCAAGCAAAGCATAACTCCTTTGGAACACAAYGGTCTGTGAGGATATTAGGAATGTCACCAATGTGGCGTTTAGCCACTGTCCACCAGAGCTACCCTGCCAAAGTACAATGATGGGCCAGGACTGTCCTGCAAAAGAACCTTCTGCAGATCCTCCTATGCCTTCCGCAAAACACGTAAATTCAGAAAATCATACCCATGTTTCAGTCAGAAAAGATGGAATAAATAAGACAAAATAACCTTTCTTAGTCCATTAAACATAGTTATGCATGAAGTCCAACTTGGATTTTATACAATAAAGCAACACACAAAACAACAGTTTGRAAACATAAAGCTGTATAGA